AATTTGTTTTTTCTATAATGATTCTGTATATTTATCTTCTTTTGATGCTTCCTGCATCAGTCAATATTAGGCCCAAAGATATCCTTCAGTATTACAGTTCGAGGCTTGAATTTGCCCTTCAACTTTTCAGTACCAGGCAAGAATCTGACTATGGAACTACCAATATTCATGTGCAAGTTTGAATGGAAGCTTAAAAAATAAAAAACAAAAATGAGTTCAGGAGAACAAAAATACAACCTTGAATATATTCCAAATGAACTTAAAATCATCTCAAGAGCAGATTCGATGAAATGAACATTAATGACTCAAGTCCAGATCAGCTATGGGATGACGTCAAGTACATTATCTGTGAAGAGAGTAAAAGGTCATTGAAAAGATGAGAAAAAAAGAAAAAGAATAATTCCAGAAGAGATGCAATACCTTACACTAAATTGGAAAGAAATAGAAATAAAAGAATGAACATTAATGGAAGAGAAATGAACAAAAGATGTCCAAAGGCAGCTGCAGAACAAATCTATGTATTATAAAGAACTTTGCAAATAACTGGAGTTAGAAAACCAAAGGGAAGAACATGCTTGGCATTTCTTAATGTGAGGTCCCTATTGTTGCTGTTGGGTACCTTTGAGTTGGCATGGAAAGATAACTGACACTACAGTGGGTTTCAGGGCAGTAAATCACAAAGGAGTCTGTTCATCATTCTCCTTTGGAGCACCTGGTGTATTTAAACTACATACTTCTTTTTAAATTTCATTTTATTAATTTTAATGAACACTTAGAGAGATTTTGGATTTCCATTCATTCACTGTTGCACTTTTCTCCCTGGCCACCCCTTCCCCCCCAGTTCGCATACTTTTATGGTAGCAGGACAATATCTTACCATTAAGCCACTACAGCTTCCTGTGTTGTTGTTATTATGTGCCATCAAGTCAACTCCTACTCATAGCGACCCTGTGTAAAACATATCTGAATCCTGCTCTATCATGAGCCACTTTTATTGTCTCTGACACATGTATCCCCATTACCCCAGTCACTGAGTCAATTAATCTTATCCAGGGGTTTCTTCTCTTGCACTTTCCCTCTACCCTTCAAAGCATGATGTCCCTCCCCAAAGAATGGTCCCTCTTTGCAACATGCCCAAAGTATGTCAGATGGAACTTCAAAGTCCTTGCTTTCAAGGAGCAGCCTGGTTTCCCCAAGATGAACCTATTTCTTCACTTTCATGTGTATTTAATACTGTTCTCCAGCACCATAACTCAAAGGCATTGACTCTCCTTCTATCATCCTTAATCATTGTTCAGCTCTCTGATGCATAAGTAATTGCAAAAATCTTGTCCTGAATCAGGTGCACCTTAGTCTCTAGAATGCCATTATTGCTTTTTAGAACTCTGGAGAGGACCCTGACAGCAGATTCCCCCAATGCAATTTGGCTTTTAGTCTCCTGGCTGCTGCTACCAAGCATGTCAATTTTGAAGCCAAGCAAGTGGATGTTGTTAATAATCTAGTCTCTTCGCCATCTATCATGCTGCTGCCAAATGGTTAAAGTAAGAATCTTTGTCTTCTTGATGTTAAGCTTCAATGCATATTGAAGGCTGCAGTCTTTGACCTTCTGCTGGAAATGCTTCAGGTTCTCCTCTGTTTCAGCAAGCAAAGTTGTGTCATCTGTATAATGCACATTGTTGATGAGTCTTCCCCTAATCCTGATGTCACATTCCTTCTCAGAACCCAGTCTGGGCAAAGAACTGGAGTTGGAAAAAGGAACAAACTTGCTCAGCATTTCTTAAATTGAAGGAATTGAAGTACAAATTAAAGCTTTGAGTTGCAATACTTAAGGATGCTGTGGTCAGAGTGTTGGATGACTCAGAAAGCATCAAAAGAAGATGGAAAGAGTACACAAAGTCACTATATCAAAACAAATTGGCTGGCACAGAAGAATTTCATGAAACAGCATGTCATCAAGAGCATATGGTGAAAAAGAAGGAAACAAGGCCCAAGGAATTGAAGAAATACCAATTGACATATTTCAACAAACAGATGTTGCCCTAGGATGCACTCACCAGGCTGTTGCAAGAAATCTGGAGGAAAATCACCTGGAAAACTGACTGCAAGAGATACATATAGATTCCTATTTAAAAAGAAAGGGAAAAAGTGACCTGAGAGTGTGGAAATTATTGAACAGTATCATTAATAGTACATGAAAGCAAGATCCAGCTGAAAGTTATCCAAAAATGACTGGAACAGCATATCAACACAGAATTGCCAGATGTTCAATTTGGGTTTAAAAGAGGCTGTGGCACTAGGAATGTTATAGCCAATATTAGATGGATCTTAGGTGAAAGCAGAGAGTACCAGAGGAATGTCAATCTGTTCTTCATTGACTATGCAAAGGCATATGACTGTATTGATCACCACTAACTATGGCTAACTCTGAGAAGAATGGGAATCCCAGAACATTTGATTTTGCTTATGTGAAACCTTTGGACCAGGAGGCAGCAGTTAGATCAGAGCAAAGAAATACTACATGATTTAAAATTAGGTAAGATGTAAGCCATGGATGTATCTTATCTCTATACCTCTTCAATCTATATATGGAACAGCTCCCTATGTTGTTAAGGATACTGTCTAGTTGCTTGCAACTCAGTGACCCTATGTACAACAGCCCTGAACCCTGCTCACTCTTGAGCCTATTCCCATTACCCTAGTCACTGACTCAATCCATCTCATCCAAGGTCTTCCTCTCTTACTCCGTCCCTCCACCCTTCCAAGCATGATGTCTCTCTCCAAGGACAAGTCCCTTCTTGCAACATGTCCAAAGTATGTCAGGTGGAACTCCAAATCCTTACCTCCAAGAATTTCAACTTCTCTAGGACAAACTTGTTTGTTCTCTTAGTAGCCCATGGTATACTCAATAGTCCTCTCCAGCATCACAGGTCCAAGGCATTGATTCTTCTTCTATCATCCTTAGTTATCTTCTAGCTCTCTGATGCATAGCAAGTAACGTGAAGACCATGGTCTGGATCAGGCGTACCTTAGTCTCTAGACTGTCATCATTGCTCTTCAGTACTCTGGAAAGGTCCCTGACAGATTTACCAAATTCAATTTATCTTTTGATTTCCTGGATGCTGGTAGAAAGAGTGTTGTGTGTAGGGGAAAGTAAGCTGAAGCTATTAACAATCTCAATCTCTTTGCCATCTATCATGATGCTGTCAATTGGCCTAAAGTGAGAATCTCTGTCTCCTTGATGTTGAGCTTCAACATTGAATGCTGCAGTCCTTGAACTTCTGCAGCAAATGCTTCAAGTCCTTCTCAGTTTTGGCAAGCAAGGTTGTATCAACTGCATAATGCAGGTTGTTGATGAATCTTCCTCCAATCCTGATGCCACATTCCTCCTCATAGAGCCAGGATACATCCTTGGCATAGAGCTTTCCTAATTTTGAACCATACAGTTGTCTTTGCTCTGTTCTGAAGACTGCCTACTGTTCCAAGTATAGCTTTTGCATAAGCACAATCAAGTGTTCTTGGATCCCATTCTTCTCAGAGTTAGTCATGGTTTGTAGTGATCTACAGTCAAATGACTTTACATAGCCAATGAAACAACTATAAGACATTCCTCTGGTACTCTCTACTTTCAGCTAAGATACATCTAATATCTCTAGTGTCCCTACCTTTTCTAAATCTAGCCTGAACCCCAGAGCATATTACTCATTCCTCCTCAAAATTCCCTTAAGTGGCATCCATCAGGAGTTTCCATCAGCTTCCTAGGAGAAAGACAGGCAAGATCTTCCTGTGTAATTAAAATTTGCTGGGAGTTTAGTTGAGCTGGCTCACAGAAATCCATCTGAGTTTTTGAGTGTTTCTACTTAATTACATGAACTTTAATAGAGCATTTCTCATCTTTGGTGTAATTTTTTCAAGCATATTTTGCCCTTTTTATATTTACATCTTGAATACTCATAAAATAAAAGTTTTGTAATCCTCAGAATTTCCAGTTCCTATTTTAAAATTTGATATATAGTAACAAATTTCCTTTAAAATAATTTTCTTTCTTGGCTTCTTTGGGCAACACAAGCAGGCATCCCTGAGCCCCAAAGAAGTATTGGTTCTTGTGCTATCTGCACAGTAACTTATTAAACTATTAAAATCACAGCTTCTACCAAGTATCTCATCTCCTTTCCTCCTTTTATTCAAACATTTATTTAGCACTTAATGGTGCTAAGCAGAGAGTCTAAGTTCCTTCAGAAAGTAATGGAGGCAGTATTTTAGCCCTGGAGGCACACTTCATTGGGCTGTGCGGAAAGTTTCTGTTTCCCCAGACTTTTTCCTTTCGTCCAGTTCTTGGATTTATGTAGGAAAGACATCTTACAAAAAGTCCACGGATGAAAAAACCTGTTATAGGCAAGCATGCTTCATCTATCCTCAACAACCATTTCAGAAATCTGGGACCAGAACTCCAAAAAGAGTATTCTGTATTTGCCAAACTTTTCACCTGGAGCTTTTAATTAAAAGATAGTATGTTAATTAACATCAAGAAATGCACAGCCATTACCTAGAGTTCCTAGCCTCATGCAACACAGGGTTGCAAAATTGCATCCTGTTTTAATTTCAAAGGAGCTCTGCCTTTAGAAAGAAGAAAATACTTTTTCTTATTGCTAAACGTATAAAAAAAGTTTTAAAACAAGAACTAAATTGATTAGTTAAAAAAAAAAAAAACACCACAAAACAACTGTACAGAACTTCAAACCAAAACTTCGTAAGAAGTGAGCAAAACTCCAATGTTAACTAGCCCGCAACAACCCATGAGAAAGGCACGTCTCGCGAGAATTGAGGAAATGCTACCCAAAACCCAGAGAAAGGGCTGTGACCTGTCAGTGGGCGGGGCGTTGGGATCCTGAGTTCGGAGTGCCCGGGGGCTTAGCCCAGCCCGTAGTGCAGTCCCGTGACCTTAATGCGCGCTCCTGGCTTTGCAGGGACCGCCCTAGCAGTCCCTCCTTAAGTCTCCAGCCATGGCGCGGAAGTGGAACCTGCTTCTTCTTCTTGTGCCATTTGTGTTCGGCCCGGCTCTCGTTCGCAGCTCCTCCGGCCCTCTGCCCCTGGTTCTCAACACATGGCCTTTTAAGAATGCAACAGAAGCAGGTGCGGGCAGCGGTCGGGTCGGGTGGCTGCGCTGCAAGGGCTCACTGGTGAGGGTACAGGACTGCTGGGAGAGGAGGGCAGGCCTCCTGCATCTTCCTCTTCCAGTCTCACTCAGATCTCTTACAGTTGACCCAGTCCTCCATCCTCAGAGCAACTGCTGGATTTTAGGGCCTTTTCTTTTATCTTACTCCTCTTGCTCACTCCCTGAGCTAATACATTCACCGCTGCTCTGGTGGCCTAAAACAGTTCTGATCTTTCTGCTTAAATTCTTCCAGTCGCTTCCAGTTTTTCATGGTCTGTTGTCTACCTTTACAATTTATCTTCCAATTGTCCCGGCGCCAGATAAGCCCCGCTTTGCAAATGACTAATAAATGGACAAAATGTGCTCTTTTACGTTTATGCATCTACATTTTTATAATGTGATATTTTGTGAACCATCTGGAACTCTCAGTTTTCACCGTCAAACTCCTTGATTTGCTAATACAGAAGTTTCAAGTTTACCTGTACATTAAGATCACCCGCAGGGCTTCTCAACACGACCTGTGCCTAGGTATTTAGAATTAACTGTTAGAACCAAAGCATGTGGTTTTAAAAGCTTCATAAGTGATTCTGATATTTAATACGGATAGGCTTGAGAATCACTAAGTTGAGGGAATTACTTCTTGAAGGAAATTTTCCTCCTTCATTTACTGTCCTTACATCCAATCTGAGTTGGTTTTGAGTACCTTCAATTAGGAACCAACCCAGAGCTGACCCTCTGGTGGGTTTTCCGTGACATTTAATTGCATGGGAGCGGAGGAGATTGCCCCCATCCTTCTGCCACAGAGTAGCTCATGGATTCGAATCTCTTGACTTCCAGATTGCAGTTCAGGTTCTTGCCACTAGGCCACCAGAATTCCCAGCCTATCTGTGTAGCATGCCTATGTCTCCTAAAGTTTGATATTATCCTAGGCCTGACTTGGCATTTTCGAATTACCCTATCTGTTTATTTATTGTGAGTATAACTACAAGAGTACTTTTAGATTCCATCCTATTAGACTGTTCAATTTCTTTCCTTTGGGGGGCAGTACTGGCTCTAGAACTTGGTGGAGCCGAATTTTTATGTTATAGGCATTGTATGTTGTTTTTGTTATGTGCTGTACAGTTGCCTGTGACTCATAGCAACCCTATGTAGAGCAGCCCTAAACCCTGCTCTATCCCTTGCCAATATTATTATCTCTGACACACCTATTCCTTTTACCCCAGTGACTGAATCAATCCATCCCACCAAGGTCTTTGTCTCCTGTGCTGTCCCTCACCCTTCCAAGCATGATGTCCCTCTCCAAGGACTGATACTGCCCTGCAACATATCTAAATATGTCAGACGAAGCTTCAGAATCCTTTCCTCCAAGGGCAGCCTGGCTTTACCCTCTCTAGGACAAAGTTGTTCTCTTACCAGTCCATACTATATTCAATACTCTTCTCTAGCATGCATCAACTCTCCTTCTATCATCCCTAGTCATTGTCCATGTCTCTGATACATAGCAAGTGATTGCAAAGACCATGACCAGTATCAGGCACACCTTAGTCTCCAGACTGACAATGTTGCTCTTCAGTACAATGGAGAGGTCTCTGACAGCAGACTTTCCTGGTGCAATTTATCTTTCAATTTCCTGGCTGCTGGTACCAAGAGTGTTGATTGTAGAGCCAAGCAAACTGAAATTGTCAACAATCTCAATCTCTTCACCATTGTATAAGGGTCTGAAAGCAGCTCTTAGAAGGAATATCCCAGTGACAAAAGAGGCTGGAAGGAGGTGTAGGCACAAGGATGGGGGATGTTTCTGTGTAAATTGTGTTAATTAAAATGGAGAACTTATTAACTTTACATCCTCTGGACCTTTTCAAATTAAAAAAAATGATAAAACAATGCTTTTTTAAAAATATTGGCATCTAAACTTGAATGACATTTGTTTTTTATCAGTAAGAAATTACCCATTGAAGAACACCCCTCCCACCCTATCCCTGCCCAACTCCACACTTTTTCACCCTTGCACAGTGCTCTTGAGAATCAGGAGAGTGAAATGTTAGTGGGACATCTGGAGTCAGATGACTACATTTGAAATCTGGGTTTATCCTGTACTAGCTCGGTCCTTGTTGCTGTGTACTCTGGAATCATAACTGACCGATAGCTACCCTCCAGCCGACTTTAAAGGGCATTAAATCACATGGAAGTTGATTGCCCACACTTTTTCCCATAGAGCAGCTGGTGTGTTTGAATCACGTGTCTTTGGGTTCACAGCACAGCTCCTTGCCACAACGCCACCAGAGCTCACCTGTCTCCTTAAGCCAGTTTTCGTGAGTCTCTGTTTTCTTTTAAAGTGAGGACACTACTGACATTAAGAGCTATTGTGAAGATTATACAAATTAATTCATATACAATCTCTGTTGGAAATACATAATAATGCCGTACTACTACTGAGTGTAGATTTCTTGACACATCACCAATGTCAGATAGATCTTGGCCAAAAGCAAACATTACCAGAGGAATATCTCTCTGTGTTTCATTGACTATTCAAAGGCATTTGACTGTGTCGATCACAACAAATTACGGCTAACTCTGAGAAGAATGGGAATCCCAGAACACTTGATTGTGCTCATGTGAAACCTATACGCAGACCAGGAAGCAGTCCTGAGAACAGAGCAAAAAAAACACTGTGTCCTATCTCCTTACTTTGTCAGTAAATATGGCTGGACTTTTAAAAGAAGAATATTACATCAGGATTGGAGGAAGATACATCAACAACCTGTGTTATGCAGATGACACAACTTTGCTTGCTAAAACTGAGGAGGACCTTTTGAGGAAACTGCTTGCTGTAGAAGTTCAAGGACTGTAGTCTTCAGCATGGATTGAAGTTCAACATTAAGAGGACAATGATTCTCACCACTTGGCCAATTGACAGCACCATAATGGATGGAGAAAAGGTTGAGGTTGTTAACAATTTTAGCTTGCTTGGCTCCGCAATCAGAAGTCAGGAAATCAAAAGACAAATTGCACTGAGAAAATCTGTCAGGGACCTCCCCAAGTACTGAAGAGACTAAGATGAGCCTGATCCAGGCCATGGTTTTTGCAGTTACTTGCTATACATCAGGGAGCTGGACAATGACTAAAGATGGCAGAAAAATCAATGCCTTTGAGTTGTAGTGCTGGAGAAGAGTGTTGAACATACCATGGACAACCAAGAGAACAAACAGTTCTGTATTAGAGAGGGTGAAACCAAGTTTCTCCTTGGAGGCAAGGATTTGAAGCTCTGTCTCACGTAATTTGGACATGCAGGAGGGACCAGACCTTGGAAAAGGATACTGTGCTTGGAAGGGTGGAGGGGACAGCATGGGAGAGGAGGATTCCAGATGAGATGGATTGACATGGTAACTGGGGTAAAGGAGGTAGGTAGGTCGGAGTCAGTGAGGCTGGCTCAGTATAGGCTTCAGAGCTATTGTTCATAAGGTCACTATTAGTTGCAGGTGACTCGCTGGCACATAACAACAGTATTTCTAATAAGATGATGCAGAAAAAACCAAGGCTATGATTAATAGATTTTTCAATTGAATTACATTTGTTGTCCTTTCTGTTATAACTTCCAGGGAGTAATGTTGGCATAGTACATAGGGAGTTACACTGCTAACCTAAAGGCCAAGCCTCTCTAGCGATTCAAACCCACCAGCAGCTCTGTGGGAGAAAGACGAGTAATATCATATGTGATTCATAGCCTTGGAAACCCAGTGGAGCGTTAACTGACTCAGTTCCTGCTTGAAGGTAATATATGTACCTTTCAAAATTAAAGGAGGAGATACCTTCTTTTATTATACTCCTTAAAGAAGCAGACATTCAACGAAAACACCCTCAACATAACTGTTGGTGCTCAGGTGGCACAGTGTTTAAAAGAATTCAAGGGAGCTCTGGTGGCCTAGTGGCAAGAAGCTGCACTGCAATCTCAGAGGTATGCAGTTCGAACCCACCAGATGCTCTGCTGGAGAAAGAGGGGCAATCTCCTCCTGTACCAATCACATCCAATTTGACGGTACACACACAAAAAAAATAATAAAATAAATTAAAAAAAAAAAAGAATTCAGCTGTTAATAGATAGGGCAAACCCTACCAGCCTCTGTGGAATGAAGTTGTGGCATTGGTTTCTGTGGCAATATACTACCTTGGGGCAGTTCTGCTCTGTCCTATGTGGTTGCTATCAGTTGAAGTTTACACAATGGCATTGTCACCATGAGTTTGAGTTTGTACAATGTCACGAGTACCACCTAATATCAATAGCCTATCTATGAAGTTTTGATAGCATATAGTTTCATTTATATAATTTTGTCTACAGTATTCTGACTACATTATGATGGGATATGTACTTTCAAGTCACATTTGATAAACTAATTTGTTAAAAAATCAGCTTAAAGGAGACGTTAAAAGGTGAATATGAATAAAACAGTTTTTACTTGTATTTGTTTCGAGGGGCTATTTGTGTGTATGCATGTACATACATATGTAAATGTAATATAAATAAGCGAGTACTCTTGTGATTTGATTACCAGCCAGGAGGACCTTAGAAGCTGGAGGTTCTTCTCTGGATGCAGTTGAGAATGGCTGTGCTGTATGTGAGCTGGAGCAGTGTGATGGCACTGTCGGCTTCGGGGGAAGTCCTGATGAATTTGGAGAAACCACACTGGATGCAATGATCATGGATGGGTAAGAAGGTCCCTCGAAACCTGCTTGCTTATCTCTGCACCTTTGCTTAATGTTGAGTTACATTTATAGTTGCATTCTTCTGTCAATAGCTTAATGGGAGAGTGATAAGTTTTGTCAGAGGATAAAACTTGTAGCTTTCTGTACCTTAACCTTTTCAAACACAGGGACCCTCCTCTTTCTGTGAACAATACTAATAATAGCAACAGGAGAGGGGGAGTAGGAACCAAAACTTATTTGATAGTAAATAATTTCTTTAGAATAGAGAGAATCACACCTACAGAAATACACCACTAATCTTAAATGTTGTTGTTTGCTTATCGTGAAACCTTAAGACTGTTCATAAGCTAGGAAGAAGTGAAACTTTTAGTGCTTTTGGGGAAGATGGTAAATTGATTTTCTATTTATTTCTTAATATTTTTACCTTTTCTGGCTGTGGCAATTTGTATGAACTTCATGAATGTGCCATGTCTTCTTCCAGCATGAAGGTAGTTTATTTTATAGAACCCTGGCTTGGAGAAGATATTGTTTTTCTTTCTTTTTTTTTTTTTAAGTATATGAATCTATGAAAAGAACATTCTTATTTATTCTTATGTTTTTCTTTTTTCTTTTTTTGGCAGCACTACTATGGATGTAGGTGCAGTAGGAGATCTCAGACGAATTAAAAATGCTATTGGTGTGGCTCGAAAAGTACTGGAATATACAACACACACACTTTTAGTAGGAGAATCAGGTATATCATGTCTGTAATGATATTTTTTTCCTAGAGTTTTTTCAGTTATATTCACTGAAAAAAAAATTAGAAATAAAGATCTAATGTGAAATAGGTAAAAAGAAGCCCTATTTCAAATTTCTGTAGTTTAAATTAATACCTATTTAATATGGCAAACTGGTTTAGCTTCTGAATCTTTCTCCTTTGGTCACTGAAATGGGATTTTTAAAAAATATTTCATTATCAATAGATGAATATTTGCAAAATGAATACAGGATACAGAATTGTTTCACTGTATTACACCTTTTAAGACTTATTGTTAACTTAAAAAAGGTGAGAATTAAAGAATTTTCCCATGAAAGTGTATGTTATTTTAATTCCTTCCAAATTAGATACCAAAAATCATAGAGGGATCTATGACCAAAATGCTTTTAATAATTTAACTAGCCACTGCAGCAGGTTTCCTTGAAGTTTCTTTCAGACATGGAAAAGGCCTGATAAGCGAAAGAACAAAACTGGAAATAACTTGACCAACAAAAGGATTTTATTCATAGGAATCCAGTTGTCCTTTCATTAGATACCTCAGTGCTTTGCATCTCAGGCCTTTGCACTCTGGTTGAATTTTGTGTTAGTGAGAAAGTTGCCTTTTCTTTTTAAAGTAGAAGGGAAATTGTGAGAGGGAAGCAGAAAAGGAGAACTAGCATCACACCTTAAGGGTCTGAGCAGATCGGTTCTAGGAACAAATCCATATGAAAATCAATCTGGATATATATATAAATATAAAAACCTTTTTGTCTTTAATTTTCTTAATATTCCTTTGAAAGTCTTCATGTAGCTCACAGCTGTTGTACCACACTTAAGTGACAGCTGGAGCCCAACAGTGGTTGAAAACACTCAACTGCTCACTGAAAAGTTCAAATGCACCAGCTGTTCTGTGGGAAAAGATGTGACCATTGCCTTCTGTAAAAATTACCAGCGTTGGAAATCCTATGAGGTGGTAATCCTATGAGCAAGTAGTTGCTCCTGGAGGATTGCTATGAGTGAGAAAGGATTTAACAGCAATGTCTTTGCTTTGTCTTTGGTCTAAGCTAACTTAAGTCTGTCTCTTCTACATAAAGCTGTTGTTATATATACTTCATTTAAAAGGAAAGGTTTGATTGATTTATGTTTTCCTTCTTGTCTTCAGCCACTAAGTTTGCTGAAAATATGGGATTTATCAATGAAGATTTATCTACCAATACATCCCGAGTTCTTCATTCGGATTGGCTTGCTGGAAACTGCCAGCCTAACTATTGGAGGGTCTGTGTAAATATTTAATTTTTAAAAGTAAATTCTTTGAGTATATTGATGTCTCCTCTGCTCACTATTACTCATTTACTCTCTGACGTGCTGGTTGGCCTCCTGGCTGTACATTAGAGCCAGAGGTTTAATTAGAGTGTCTGGGATTGGTTATTCCTGAAAACACCCTTGTACGCACAATATGCAGTACTATTTGTCTCTGGCAAAGTTTTCAAACTGTGCTACACTGCTTATAATCTTTGTAACAGAAGTTCTAAGTGAGAAACATTCTAATTTGAAAATGATTGTGGTGTTATTATTAAATGCCACTGAACTGAGTACAACTCATAGCAACCCTGTGAACAATGGATCTGAACCCTATCCTATCCTGTCCCATCCTCATCATCTCTGATACTTGAACCCATTGTGGCAGTTACTGTGTCAGTCCATCTCTTTAAGGGTCTTTCTGTCTTTCACTGATCCTTCACGTTTCCAAGCACGCTATCCCTCTCTAAGTAATAGCGTCTCCTAGCAACATACCCAGAGGATGTGAGACAAAGCTTTGCCATCTTTGCCTCTAAGGAGCATAATGGCTCTGCTTTATCCAAAACATGTCTGTTTGTTCTTCTGGCAGTCATGGGACATTGAGTACCCTTCTCCAACACCACAACTGAAAGACATCAATTCCTTCATACTTACTCATTGCCCAGCTCTCAGATGCACAGCAAGTGATTGAAAAACCATGGCAATCCTTAGTCTTTAAACTGTTATTGCTCCTCAGGGATTTAGAGTGGGCTCCGATAAGTCTCCTGACTACTGGTACCAAAGGTGTTGATTGTGATCCATGAAAGATGAAATAGTTGACAATTTCAGTCTTTTCTCTCTCTGTCACGATGTTGTCTATTGGTCCAGTGGTGAAATTTTTTTTCTTTCTTGATGTTGACATATAAATCCGTTTAGAAAGTTGAAGTCTTTGATATTCCACAAAAAGTACTTCAAGTTTTCCTCATTTTCATCAAACAAGGTCATGCCAGCTGCATAATGCTGTCTGTTGATGAGGCTCCCTTCAGTCCTGATGCCACATTCTTCTAGAGTCTACCTTCTTGAGTGATTTGCTCAGCATACTGATAGAATAGGTATGGAGAAAATGATACAACCCTGACACATAGCTTTCCTGATTTTGAACCATTTTGATTCCACTGCTCTGTTTGGATGACAACTTCTTGGTCCAAATATAGATTTCATAGAATTTAAGTGTTCTAAGATTTCTGTTCTCAGTGTCAGCCATAGTTTATTATAATCCACACAGTCAAATGCATTTGCATAGTCAATAAAACATAAATAGTTAATCTTCTGTTTCAGGCAAGTTCCATCTAGCAGCAATGACATCCCTGGCGCCATGGCCTCTTCTAAACTCAGCTTGTACTTCTGGCAGTTCTCTGTCAATATACTTTTCTGGCCGTGTTTGGATGCTCTTCAGTAATATTTTACTTGCATGTGATATTAATGATAGTGTTCTATATTTTCCATTTTCTATAAGATCACTTTCTTGGGAATGAAAAAAAAATATGAATCTCTTCTTAGTAACTTTCCTCCAAATTCCCTATTATAGACTAGTAAGCAAGCCAGGGCTGTATCTATTAGTTGAAACATGTCAATTGGTATCTACTGATTTCTGGGACATTATTGTTTGCCTTTGCCTTCAATTTCAGCTTGAACTTCTTCCTTCATTACCTTTTCAATTTATAGCCTATGAAAATCTGCTGGCAAGTTAGCTATGACTTGATTCTGATTCGATGGCACATAACATACCAGTCATTACTCTATAATGTTTCTTAGTTCTTATCCATGTGATGAATGTTCAAAATCTTGCCCCTGTTTGATTTGAGAGTTTCTTGGTATCTGTCTAGATGCCACTAATGGGACACCTTTTCCGGACCCAGTGTGTCTTCTAACATATATCAGTAAATCAGTTTGCTTTTATCATCCTGATTGAGTCACATGTCTTATTCTCTTATCTGTTTCTACCCTAAATTCTAATTACCTTTGAAAAACCAGAGAGTCTCTGGGATTAGCACTAGAAACAGTCCACTCACAGAACCAAGTTAGGTGGGGCATCTGGAACTCCAAACTTTAAGACCTGTCTTAGATTTCTTATTTTAATGCCAATATAGATATGCAATTTATGAATTTGAATTGTTTTGTTGAAATTTTAAAACATATAAACAAACCATGGAATATCACATAGAATTTGTTCACATGATCCTATCTTTAGAGCTAGGAGATGATCTTAGAACCATATTTCACTCTGCTTTGGTCACTGAACAGATTCTGAAAATTGGAGTTCAAGTTGTATATGAGAATTAATAACTAATTAAAGTCTTCATTCGTATCTGCCTTTGCACTGAGAATGTTAGACTTTTAGAGAAAATATTACGAAGCTAATCCAGAAAATACATATGTTTAAGCATCATTATATATCTCTGAATAGACATTTAATAAAACTATGCCTTTGAGCTGTGGTGCTGGAGAAGAGTATTGAGGGTACCGTGGACTCCTAGGAAAACAAACAGATTCATCCTGGAAAGGGTTAAACCAAGCGGCTCCTTGGAGGCAAGGATTCTGAGGCTCCGTCTGACATACTTTGGACATGTTGTGAGGAGGGACCGGTCCTTGAGGAGGGACATCATGCTTGGGAGGGTGGAGGGACAGCGCAGGAGGGGAAGGCCCTCAATGAGGTGGATTGATTCAGTGACTGGGGAAATTGGAATGGTTTTATCAGAGACAGTGTGATTGGCACAGGACAGAGCAGAGTTTAGGGCTGTTGTACATAGGGTTGCTATGAGTCGCAAGCGACTTGATGGCACATAACAACAACAACAACAACATACCTGTCTTCATCAGAAGTCCAGGCTGGGTTTAGAAGGAGTCGTGGTACTAGGGATATTATAGCTAATGTTAGATGGATCTTAGCTGAAAGCAGGGAATATAAGAGGAATTTCTATCTGTGTTTCATTGATTGTGCAAAGGCGTTTGACTGTGTGGTCATAAACTGTGGCTAACTCTGAGAAGAATGGGAATTCCAGAACACTTGATCATGCTAATGTGAAACCTATACTTGGACCAGGAGGCAGTCGTCAGAACAGAAAAGGGAAACACTGCATGGTTCAAAATTGGGAAGGGTGTACGCCAGGGCTGCATCCTGTCTCCATACCTTTTCAACCTATGTGCAGAAGAGATTATCCGGGAGGCTGGACTGAATGAGAAGTGTGGCATCATGATTCATGGAAGATTCATCAACAATCTGTGTTATGCAGATGGCACAACCCTACTTGCTGAAACTGAAGAGGACCTGAAGTGCTTGCTGCAGAAGATCAAGGACTGCAGCCTTCAATATGGATTGAGGCTCAGTATCAAGAAGAGAAAGATTCTCACCATTGGGCCTGATAGAGGATGAAGAGATTGAGATTGTTAACAGCTTTAGTTTACTTTGCTCCACAGTCAGCACCAGCAGCTAGGAAATTAAAAGATGCATCACGATGGGAAAATCTGCTGATTGGGACTACTCTAGAGTACTGAAGCGCTGTGGTGTCACTCTGGAGACTAAGGTGTGCCTGATACAGGCCATGGTCTTTGCAATCATTTGCCATGCATCAGTGAGCTGGAGGATAGAAGGAGAATTGATGCCCTTGAGCTGTGGTGTTGGAGAAGAGTACTGAATATACCATGGACTGCTAAGAAAATGAACAGGTTTGTCCTGGAGAGGGTTAAACCGGGCTGCTGCTGAGAGGCAAGGATTCTGAAGCTTCGTCTGACATACTTTGGACATGTTGCAAGGAGGGACCAGTACTTGGAGAGGGATGTCATGCTTGGGAGCATGGAGGGACAGGGCAGGAGAATAAGACCCTCTGTGAGGTGAATTGATTCAGTGACTGGAGTAATGGGGATGAGTGTATCGGAGACAGTGTGATTGGCATAGAACAGAGCAGAGTTTAGGGCTGTTGTACATAGGGTCGCTATGAGTCACTGGCGACTCGAGGACATGAAACAACAACATACCCACCTCACCACATAAAACCTTGTATTTTTAACTCTTTGAGGTGCCAAATATTTTTATTTCTTGCTAATGTTTGATAATTGTAATTACTTGTAAAAAATGCTTTTTAAAAATAAAATTTAAATCTTGTTTACAGAATGTTGTACCAGATGCTTCAAAACACTGTGGACCCTACAAACCCAAACCACACAGTATGTTAAAACAAGATAGGCCTACCCATAAAGAAAAAGGAGATAATTTTGGGCATGATACTATTGGTAATTGTCTTTTATGCTATTTTTGTGTTTAAAGCTTAGCCATTTTTTAATTGCTTTCATGTTTCTCTTAATGTTCTCTCTCTATATTCATATGCCAGAAGTTGACCTTGCTTGTTTTAACTCCAAAGTGTTATATACGTTATTCTCTTAGGATCTATAAATAATTTGTAAATTAATTCAAGCAGGACATGCAAAATCCACTCAGTTTGATTTTTAAATATTTGGTATTGATAATTTTATATCATTTACTACATTCAAGTGATCTAAATGTTGTTGGGCATTTCTTTTAAAAGAATATTAAATATAACCAAACAATTTTAAAAAGTAAGAATATTGAATATCTACCAAATGATATTAAAACTGTGATCATTGGCATAATTGTCATGATTTTCCTTTTTTACCTAAACTTAATGCATATCATATTCTTATATTTAAGGCAAACCTTAGAGTTGGTACATACAATTTTTTTTTTTACTTCTAGGCATGGTTGCAATTCATAAGACCGGACGTACTGCTGCTGGCACATCTACAAATGGTATAAAATTCAAAATACCTGGGTTAGTGTTTCTCAGTGCAGCTCTTCAAAAAAGCAAACCCCAGTGTTGTCAAGTTGACTCTAAAATTCTCACAAAGGCATATAGAGTATAAATCAAGAATTCCTCGGTGCTATGGAGTGATGCAGAGTGCACAGCATTGTCTTAGTCTTACGGTACAATGTAAATATAACAAAATATGTGTATCTGATAAGTGCAAAGGAGATTGCTTGGTAGTGCAAACAGTTAACAAATTCAGCTATAAACTCAAAGGTTAGACAGTTGAATATAACCAAAGGCACCTTGGAATAATCGTGTGGCAGTCTACTTCTAAAAAAAATTTCTATTGAAAATCCTATGAAACATAGGCCTACATCAACACACATATGAGGCCTCTATTGCTAGGAGAACAATCAGGTTTGTCCTGGAGAGGGTGAAGCCAGAATGCTCCTTGGAGTCAAGGATTCTGAAGCTTCGTCTGACGTACTTTGGGCTTTTTGCAAGGAGGGACTGGTCCTTGGAGAGGGACATCATGCTTGGGAGAGTGGAGGGATGGCGCAGGAGAGGAAGACCCTCAATGAGATGGATTGATTCTGTGAGTGAAGTGGTGGGACTGAGTGTGTTTGAGACGGCGAGGTTGGCACAGGATAGAATGGTGTTTAGGGCTCTTATACAGAGGGTCGTTATGAGTCGCAAGCAACTGGATGGCACATAACAACAACGAGTGAAAATCAATGAGACAGCCTTGGTAAACTGCTAGAGAAAAGGTGTTTATAGCCAGTGCTTTAGAGATTAGAGAAGACAATCATCCCTTTTATTTGAGATAATTATTAAGCTTAATAAAGTGTTACCAGGAGATTAACCCTGAGCCCACTTCAGGTAACAGGAGTGTCCAGGCAAATGAACTATCTTGAACCAAGGCATGCACACCTGAGATTTAGGGCTTCAGCTGGTACAAAAGTAACTTTGGGTGGGAGGAAGGAAACAACAGGTGATTAGATCTAGGTTTAAAGGAGCCTTAAAGATTAGATCCAGAGTTGAAGCAGTTAGTTTAGAGAATTCTGATCCTATTGGACAAGTGGTAGACAAATGTTGAAGGTTTATTACAAAGAAAAATCTTGATAAAAGTTTAGCACATTAGATAAAAAGCAGGAATAGACTGTAGGTGAGGGAAACCAATTTTGAAACTGTTGAGATAATCCAGCAATTAGGTGATAAAAGACAGTAATAATAGAAGAGTGATAGTAAATCTTTGCCATCTTTGTGTATAACTGGCTGCTGTAAAATTAGTAGGGGGCTTTGTGAAACCTAAGTAAAAAATGTAATGAAAATCATTTCTGTGTTCTGAGCAAGAAATTACTTCAGAAACAATCATCTGGCAGTAGACAGTGGTGATCATTGCAAAACACTGTAAATGAAAAAATTGTCACTGAAATACATACTTTGAACTTATAAAAATAGTAAATTTTATGTGCATTTTGCCAGTAAGATTTTGTCTTACTTTAGGTATATAGCCAGGAGAGATCATTCCTTAGGAAGGGACAGCATGCTTGGAAACATGGAGGATCATCAAAAGAGAGGAGATCAATGAGGTGGAGAGACACAGTGACTGTAGCAGTGGGCTCAAGCATGTTAGAGATGATGAGAATAGGACAGAATTGAGATCTGTTGTTCATAGAATCACTACAACAACAGATAGAGTCGTCAGCTCAGTGGAAATAAATTGAAACAGCATATAAAAGAATTCATTTTCCACTTGGCTTTCTACCTTATTTAAAATTACTGTATTTTACCTTTGCAAAGCCGTGTAGGAGATTCACCAATACCTGGATCTGGTGCCTATGCTGATGATACAGCAGGGGCCGCTGCAGCCACTGGGGACGGAGATGTATTGATGCGCTTCCTACCCAGGTGTGGGTTCTTAATATTTGTGAATTTTAGAGCTCTTTAGAGAAGATAGATTCTGCTACAATAAAATGGTTTTTGTTTGGTTTTGTTCTTTGTTTTGTTCTTTCAGTGCTGCCATATAATCCAACTATGTGCTCGCAGGAGTATTTCATAAACTGCCCTAAATTAGGTTCTTTAACTTAGCATTTTGATGGTAATCACTTGAATTAGATAATTATAGTGTTTCTGGATAGAAGAGAATATATAAGGTCTATTTAAATAATTTTTAAAAGATCATGGAGCAATGGAACTGTAATAATTGAAAGTTTTGTGTATAGTTAATTACTGAAATAGAATGAATCTTTACAGCTGGAGTCTTGTACTTGGCAAGTATTTTTTTCTTGGCTTCTCCTCTCATAGAGATACTTGCAAGTGTTATGACTTTTGACTTTGGTGAATTAAGTGACAATATTTCTGCCCAAACCAAAAACAATGGCCCTTCTTATCTGGCGTTAATAGGTGGGTAAGTTGAAAAGATAGGCTTTATACCAAATGTCATTTGCTGTGATGTCTATGCTTTAGTAAAAGTTACTTACTCTTAATGTATTCTATTAAATGTGACAGTTGTGGTATTTCTAAGTTTCTTTCTGTAGCACAACTTGGAGTTAGGATTTTTATCTGTGACACTGACATTTTACCTCTGTTTAAATTAGCTACCAAGCTGTAGAATATATGAGAGGAGGAGAAGATCCAACCAGAGCTTGTCAAAAAGTGATTTCAAGAATTCAGAAGTATTTTCCAAAATTTTTTGGAGCTGTTATCTGTGCCAATGTGACTGGAAGTTATGGTGAGTTATATTTGGCACTTGCATTTGTATAGAAAAAGGGACTGACTGCACTTGATTTACATTAATCAATTGTAGATTTTTTGAAACCCACAAATGTTAAAACAAAATATATCTAAACCCCTCCTTTGGTAGACTGCTGGTAGTTATGATCCATTCCTCAGCTGCTAGAGCTTTTCACTCCTTTCCTAAGTAGAGTTTGGTTTCACTTCTAATGCATGTTGAGATAAGGTAATCTATTTCAATATTTTTATTAACTAGAAGAAGATAATAATAAATTATCATCCCTCCTTTTTCATTCATATCTCAGCCATTTATATCTTCTTAGGCCCAGAGATTTTTTTTAAAAAGTGTGTTACTAAGGAGTAAAAATTATAAGAAGTTAGCAGAGTAAATTTTGCACTGTTTTAGGAATGTCCTTTGCTTCATTTACTTTCTGTGTGAGCCTATCAGAGTTTCAAAGCATTTCAAGATCAACCACTGCTGGTTCTCATTAGTGAATTTTCAGATGCAGAAGATACCCAGCTTACTGATCAATATGACTTATTAGGTTAGACTGCTTATTACTGTGCTTTGATCTTTTACTTCCCACAGTTCTGTATTTGAAAAACTTGTTGGAGCAATTCCTTATTCTTTCCTAAGAACTAAGATACAAAAGTCAATATGAGTTATGAAAGGGAAGGCTTTATGTATAAAATAAGTCCGTTTCATTGATTCTGTCTTAGGAAATAAACCATAGAAGGCTCTAAGCTGTATTTAACAGGATGTAGAAAGGATAATTATATAATCATAGATGGCAAGTTCCTTATATTTAAAATAATGATAGTAGGAGGGGATCCTCTAGGTGTTTGAGCAGACTAAGAAATGCACTGTTGTTATGGGTAGGGCAGCAGAAAACCACTGCACTGAAATGAACTTGTTAGAGCATCTTGCCAAAGGAAAAACTGTACTCTCATTCTTTTAAAAAGGTCAGAGGCAAGAGGAGTGTGGACAAATAATGGGAATGCTCTAGTAGCTAGCAAATGTGATGATTAGCATGGACCCAAAAAGGACTTATTGTTTTGTTTGGCTAATAATTTTTGTTGTATACTGTAGAGTCAGAATCAACCCATAGCTGACTCTCTGAGGGTTTCCAGAGGCAGTTAATTACATGGGCGGAGATTGCCCATCCTTCTTCCATGGAGCAGCTGGTGGCTTTGAACTTTGAGCCGATGGCCTTTGGGATTGAGTGCAGCTTCTTGCCACTAAGCCACCAGATCTCCCTATACAGATCAAAATAATGGTAGCCACCATAGCATATAAAGAGAGTGGAATGATCTGTCACTTTTCTGCAGTTCTCAGAGATGGCTACTCTTGTATTTCTTTCCTCTCGTGAACTGCTAAGGAGGTACAACACTAGTGTATTTCTGTGTGGTTTAAATAGATAAGGTTTATAATAACCAAAATCTAAGCAATTAAGTCATATCAGTACACACATATCATATATTTAACTATAAAGAACCCTGCTGGCACATTTATTAAGCAGTTGGAATTGACCTGAAAAATCCATAGTAAAAATTGACCAGTTCTGTTTGAAAAGATGTCACAATCTACTTTCATAAAGATTTGCCGTTTTGAAAACTCTGTGTATTTCTAGATTGTTGTACTGTAACACTAAGAGTAGAGTTAGAAATGACTTGACAACAGATGTGTGTATGAGCATTTAACCAAACAATTTTTCTCTTCTTGATCCCAGGTGCTGCTTGCAATAAACTTCCAACATTTACTCAATTTAGTTTCATGGTCTATAATTCACTAAAAAACCAACCAACTGAAGAAAAAGTAGACTGCATCTAATCCATCTCTTTTGTCAGCATGTATATTTAAAAGAAGAAAGAAAAAAAGGCTGACCAGGTTGCTCATACATGTTTTATAACTGATAGATTTTTAGTTGTATAATGTAAACATAAAAATAAATTTATGCCGAGATGGCATTTCTGATTTCTTTATCTGTCATTTATTTTTCTAGTTTCTACTTACGCTGTTATGTAACATCTGAAAAATTAATATTTTTGTGTTCTTTGTACATACTTTATTTTAAATTTGGATTTCTGACTAATGTTTTAAGAAATTATACTTTGGTGATTTATTTCCATGGTGATATAATAAAGCCAATAGAAATCATCAACATCTATGTTTAAATACTTGAAGTAGAGAATCTACATCACTTTAAACTCAAAAAAAAAGTAAGAGTGAAGTACAGCACGATGAGAGCTGATTGGATTTCAGTTTGTTAAAGTTTTACATCTCTTCATAGTGATTTTTACTTTCATATGATACCCCTCATAGCTTAGAGAGAGAGAAGAATGCTGTTAATATTCATGATTTTAAGTTTGAACATAGTATCAATCCTCATTATTTATGGAATCTATGCTTGCATATTTGCTTACTTACTAAAATTTATATTTAACCCCAAAATTACTGTTTGCAACTTGCACCACCGTTCATTTGAATTGTCCAGTGAATACATTCCCAGCTGAGAAGTTAAACAAGACAACATTCTCTTTTCTTATTTAAGCTGTCAAACTCTATCAAGTGTCCTCATAATCTGTTTAGAGCCACACTTTCTCATTTTTGTGCTTTTATTTAAAAAAAATAATTTTGCTTTTTTAAAATGACCAACTTTTGTAATAAAGTGTTTCTAATTTCTAAACATTAGAATACTTCATTGTATCTACAAGTGAGGTACATGTGTTCCATAAGCTTTGTTCGAGGATGAATTATAGTATAGACTGTAAATTCATTGTTGATAAACAGTATCGTAACATTCAGAAAAAACCAAAAGTTTTATAACCTGTACCTAAGACCATTCCACAAAGGACTAAAGTAATATCTAGAATATATACTAAACCTATAAAAAATATTAAAAAGCAGCTAAATGTATAGATTCCTGAGATAGTGGCTGATGAAAAAAAGTACACAGTCTAAAAACCAAAGAAAATGGTCAGTAAATTGTTAAGCTTTTCTTGGCTACTGCTGGCTGGCTTTCACATTTCAAGTAATATGGTGTGAAAAATGTTAAACTTCAAGGTGAGACAAGTTCTAAAGATCAAAGACAGAAGAATTTGGGAAAATATTTGCTAAATTATACATATATAGAGTGGCATCCACTTCCTAAGCCATAGGCCTCCAGAAACTCTATGAACTTGGATAAATGACGATAGTTGTAGAGGGGCTTTAGGCCTTTTGTTTCATATATGTTGTTGTTGTTATGTGCCGTCGAGTCGCTTGCGACTCATATAGACCCTATGTACAACAGCCCTAAACTCCTCTCTGTCCTGTGCCAATCGCACCGTCTCTGACACTCCCATCCCAATTATCCCAGTCACTGAATCAATCCATCTCATAGAGGGCCTTCCTCTCCTGCGCTGTCCCTCC